CCTCCTGGCCACTTTGTGGAGCAGTTCTGGACGTCCTCTTTTGTGAGTGTTTGTAGCTGTGCTGTCACCGCTGCCTCACTCTCTTAAATCATTTCAAACTCTACCTTTCCTGGTCATTTTGGCTTCGGGGAAGAGTCACAGATCGTCCGGCACAGATCCAGTGAATAAGGTGGCTGGGGACACACTGCAATGTTTTTACGAGCCGGCCTTTCCACTGGGTGGCACTCAGTGTAGCATTAACTGTATTTTTCATTACACCTTGTAAAGACACGAGAAACCCAGAACTGCTTCACAAAGTGGTGAGAACGACAAAATAGTTGTATTTGAAATGAGGGGAAATATTTTTGGTGGAGGATTAATGGCAATGTGTCTTTTACTGTAATAACTTTTAAAAATGTAGTCACTGTTTTTTTCAATCACTGCTTGTATATTGTAAGAAACTTGTAAATGATAAATGGATAAGGTGTATGGAACAGAAAATTTGTACGCGGCCAAGAGCAGCACACGCCTGTAATCCCAGCACTTAGGAGGCTGAGGCAAGAGGATTGCCATGAATTTGAGGCCAGTCTGGACTATGTAGTGAGATTCTGTCTCAAAAAACAAAAACAAGGGCCAGGGATTTAGCTCAGCGGTTTGGTGGCCTGCCTTGCAAGCGCAAGGACCTGAGTTCAATCCCTGGTACCAAAAAAAAAAAAAAAAAAAAAAAAGAAAAAAAAATAAAAAAAAAAAAAAAAAAAAAAAAAACAAAACAAAACAATACAAAAACAGAAACAGAAAATTTATTGGGATTTCTTTTTTTTAGTACCGGGGATTGAACTCAGGTCCTTATGCTTGCGAGGCAGGTGGCAGAACCACTGAGCTAAATCCCTGGCTCTAAAAAAAGAAAATTTATAAACAACACAAAACATGACCAAAGTTATTATTGCAAAAGAGTTCTATGAAGTGTCAATGATTAAAAACAAATAATCTAAAATTCAAAAACGAGAATCTAAAAATACTAAAATTAAATGAATTGGATTTACAGCATCAAATTTAAAATTACACTGAGGAAGAATTAGTGTAGAGGACTCCTTTCTGCAGTAAGTTACCATCCTTACATTTAGTAAGGACACCTGACTATGCTCAGATCTCTGCAAAAGTAAACAAAAAACAAAACTTTGCAAAGAGAAAACTCTAGGTCACTAAACTTATTTTGCAGTCACATTAGTTCAGAAAAAACTACCTAATTCACCTGACCAGTTTGCCAAATCCAGAAGAGTTCTTTAGCAACAATTTTGTCTCTCAGATGCAGAATTCTTCACAGATATAAATTTATGGAAATTAAATTGGGGATGTTATTTAAATGTATTTTGCTCATAGAGGAAAAGTGGCAAAAAATACGCCTAAGTATTAACAAAACTGGTTGTTAGGGTTGTAGATTATGTTTTATTTCAGTCACTATACTTTCTGTGATTTTTCAAACTTTTCAAGAATTTGCTTGTATTTTTTCCTATTAATAAAAACTGTTCCTTAATTGAAAAATTTTTGTGTGGATTGAATTTTGGGAGTTTTTTGTTTTGCTTTTATTTGGGGGGGGTGCTGGGAATTGAACACAGGGCCTTGTGCATGGAAATCTCCTTTGAGTTATTCCCCAGCTCCTAAATTAATATTTTAATTGACAAAATATATATATGTTTATACACATCTAGTTTTGAAATTTTATATACAATATATGTGTGAATGGCTACATCTAGCTAATTAATAGATGCATTACTTCATATACTTTAATTTTTATGGTGAAAACACAAAATTTACTCTCTTGCCTGGCATGGTGGTACACACCTGTAATCCCACCCTTGGGAGGCTGAGGCAGGAGGATCTGTGAATTCAAGGCCAGTTTGGACTATACAGTGACTTCAAGGCCAGCCTGAACTATGTAGTGAGACCCTGTCTTAAAAAACAAACAAAATTTACTCTTAGTAATTTTCAACAATACAATATGTTGTTATTAACAATACTCAAAGCAGGTTCAGACATTTAATCAAGCCTGGATTTCCTGCTGTAGGTTAGCCTGACACCTAGTTCGTCGCATAAATTTGATCTTCCCACATTAACAGAACACCTTGAATGTCCATCTCAACCCACGCACGCGGTTGCGGGCGAAGCCCTCGGGTGACCTGAGAAAGGAGTGCGCCTGTGCCTTCCAGAACTCACGCTGTTCTTGGAAGACTGAGACGTGAACAGGTGCGGAGCTAGGAAGCAGAGGAGAAGCCCGGGCAAAGAAGAACCCAGAACCCGGCGACAGGGGAGACGGCGCGGGGGCCCTGCCCTGGCAGGGGAGGAGCGCAGCTTTAGGGGAACTGGCGGCTGCAGGTGGGGCTTAGACTTCGCCTGTGTAGATGAGATAACGTGAGAAGCTGGGGGGTCTGCAAAGCCACTTCCTCCTCCCAGGAAGCGCAGGAAAGCAGCGAGGAGCAGGACCCGGCCATCAGGATTTGGAACTTCGCTTGGACCTTCCTGTCAGCTGTTTACATCTGTGAAATACCGATGGCCCTCTTTCTTTCTTTCTTTCTTTAAACCACTGTGTGTTCTATGCATGCAAATTGTGAAAACCATTTTGTCTGAATTCTCTTACGTAAACCTCCCAATAACTGGCTTCAGAGGTGCACACTACTGTTCTCCATGGGTTCTAGTCCCTCATGAGGGACAGAAATCCAGAGGGGCTGGGTCGTTGGGCGCCAAGTGGAGAGAGCAGGGTGCCCAGAGGGGTGAGCGGCAGACCCAGCCCAGCGCTGACTCATAGAGACTCATTCCCAGGAGCCCTGCCGAACAGCAGCTGGGCCACGTCTCCAAGAGGAGGGTGCGAGGGGCCCAGTGCAGACTTATGGGCTCCTGAGAAGACCCCGGTCCTTGCCAGTGTGTGCACTCAGCTAGGACAGAAAGGCTGGGGTCTGCCAGGCGCCACCTGGGAAACGGGTGGCAGAGGTTAGGAGTCACCTTTGCCCTGGGCGTCAGAGAAATCTTTTCTGGATTCTCCCTGGCTCTGGCCAGCACCTCAGGGGCCTTAACCCAGGTGGGGAGGAAACATCTGAAAACAAAATGAGGACTACAGCTTCATAGACCAGACCTGCTGGGTGCCAAGCCTCAGCTTCCCTGACTATAAAACGGGATGAGGCAGCTGAATTGACTTGGTTCTGACATTTTATTGTTCTAGAGTTCCATGGGTCTCAAGTAAACATAAAGGGTGAGAATTAAACTAATCAGAAAAAGCAACTTCTGTCTTGATGCAGTTTCTTTGGGAGAAAAACAAGCAGCTCACCCAGCATTTCTCACCAGTAAGTTTGGGGAAAGCATTTTGGCCAGAAATTCCTTGAGCTGAATGCAAATTATCTGTGAGACTAAATCAGCAAGAACACAAAAAATGCATGGGTTCAGTGGGCTAGTTCCCGGTGACCCTGGAGATTTGTGGGAGACAGCAAGGAGTTATTAGCCATTTCCTACATCAGTCGACTCACTGCGGGGAAAGCAAGCACCTTCTACAGATCATGCCCAGTTTGTGAGTTCTTTGGCAGCTGGGAACACGTCTTGTCCATATTTTATATAACCCCTAACACAGTTGTTTGGATGCTTTGTATAGGAGAAAGCTCCATATAACTCCGTAACCATTTCAATTTGATCAGTTCTTACCTAAGAAACACTGCTTGACCCTGGGAGAGCCGCTTAACACCCTGAGTCTTAGTTTGCCCCTCTTTGGATCAGGAAGGCAAACGTCCTCCTCACAGAACCTTCAAGAGGGTTACACGAGACCACACACTGTTCTAGCACCTTCCCTGCCTCGTTGTTGGATGCAGGGCTGGGCTGGCTGCATGGGTTTGCAGCCTGGCATGGCCCTGTGTTCAGAAGGGCCCTGTGGCCATCTGAACACTTTGCCATCATTCTCAATAGTCTTTACACTCAGGAGCCCAGACTTTCACTTTGCACTGAGTCCCTCCAGCTGTGCAGCCAGTCCTACTCAAGGGCCCGCATGGTGGAATCGCCAGCACTCATTCCGTGAGGCCCACACACTGGGCACAAGGAGCAGGCCCAGCCAGTTGGCAAGCCTTGGTCCAGGCCTCTGAGCAGAGCACTGTGCTATCTGAGCCCCTCCCGGGCTGGGAGACAGGGAGAAAGGGCTGGTTTCAGGATGCTCTTCTGTGCTAGTGTCTTCTGAAGAGTTCCTTCTTGCTGACTCAGTCGAGTAACTTAGCACTTGGCAGCCTCAATTTCCCCAGAGTGAACAAAAGCCATTTACTGCCCAACTTCCTTAGGCGTGAGGATCAAATGAGTCCATGTAAGCAAAGATCCCAGGACAGTGTGTGGCACAGCCAGCTCCATTTCTGGGGCAAATGTTCCTGTGTGCTGGTAGTATTTCCCTGATGGGTGCATGGCTTTTCTCTTGGATAAGATTCCTTTTCTGACTTTCCCGCATGACATTTAAAACTCCTGGGTCTTCTCCCTTCCACCTTTTGTGGTTTGGAACAAATGTTAAGGAAAACCTTCCTATGGGGAGATTCTCTCCAGGATCTGGTTTCCAATCGCCTTAAAGAGTAACAGCGACTGCTGACGGTGGGCTGTCCTGGCACCAAGTGCATGTGTCTGAATCCTGGTAGCAATCCTGTAAGGTAGATGTTCTCATACCCATCTTACAGATGAGGAAACTGAGGCACAGAGTGGAAATTTGAAAGCAGGTTTCTCAGGATGCAAAATCCATGCAGCTCCTAGCTGGAGCCCTGAGGGCCACTGCTGCTAAAGCAGACAGACCTCAGATCTCAGGAACACAAGATTAAGTCTGCAAAGCCAGTCTGCTGAAACTCAGGCTGCCTCCAAGCTCACTGCAAACTGAACCGCACACCCTGAAACCTCAACACAAAGGGAGAACTCTGCCTGAAACTCCTACCCATCCCTGCCCACCAAAACACAGGCTTTGAATTAGCTTAAAATCCCAGCTACTGGGCCAGGACTAAAGCATCCCACCTACTCACCTTGTGGGCCATGGGCAAGGTCTGAGTCCAGCCTGTGTTTCAGCGAGGTCCTGAGGGAAGCATCACCCCGCAGCCCCAGCGGGAACCCCCTCTGCTGCTGAAGTCACTGAGGTTTCATCATTTCCAGCAGGGCGGTGCAGTGCAGGCAGCTCTGGAGTCAGATAGTAATCTGCTCAGCCGAATGGAACAGGCCGGGACAGATAACACCGCCTCCTGCTCCCCCGAGCAGCTTGTACAGATGGGACTGATCCGAAGCCCCTCAGTATCCGTGTGTTTAAAGACAGCAAATGCACAGGAGAAGGAGTCCAGGGCCCAGGCTCAGGTCCCAGCCCTGGCACCGTCTTGATACGGGAGTTCACTTCCAGTGGGTGGACTGGAGAACTCCTCTGTAGAAAGGAAGAGCAGATCTCCAGCTACTCACCAGGATCGCTGGGACCGGGCTGCCTCTTAATCTACACACGGTGTAGCTGAGCATATGCAATGAAGAGCCAGATGAGGATAATTTTTCCATAGCCTCAAATGGATGAATGGAAAGTGGCTTCTAGTTTATTCAGCAGGGTCAGCCAGGGAAGGAAGGCTGGTTTGGGTTCTTCGGGAATCTCAAGCTAAAACCTCAAATGGGAAAGCTACTCCTTGGGCTCAATCCTGTGCAGGCTTTTCAGTCCCATCGATGATCGCAGCCCGGGGCTGGGTCTGTGGCTGCAGTTTTCTCCCCCTCACGGGGCCTGTGTTAATAGGGTGGATTGGAGCCACCTGTAGTCCCAGTGCTCCGGGAGGCTCTTTTATCCTTAGGGATGCACGAGAACATGGGGTGATTTCCCCCACTCCAGACTCAGCTGAGAGCTCTCCCTGGAGCTCCAGTCAACCTATGCAAGCAAAGCCAAAATTCCTGACTTGCTCTTCCTGTGACCCAGGGGCAGCGTCCCAGACTGTGTAACAGACGCACAGCTCTCCTCTTCCTGTGACCACCGTGGGACCAGGACCTGCCATGACACTGCTCAGGGCTCACACTGTAGGGTCTTTGAACACCATATACTTCAGCTCCTACACGTGTGATTTTTAGAGCTCCTCGTTTGACTGGGGACCTGGAGGGGGCATGCCGCCTGTGTGCTAAGTGACAGCGCCTTTATTTACTAGGCTATGGGCACAGCCACCATCTTTGTCAGAAGCCAGCAGAAGCCATCCCAGAAAGTCCCCTCAGATCGGAGGCCCTTGTCCTGTCTGGACTACATTTCCCTTGTGCATTATCATAAGGAATTTTACTTGTTGGTGCCTGGATGGAACCCAGGACCTTGCACATGCTAAGCACATGTGCTACTGCAGAGCTGCACATGAAACCATATGTTGTGCTCTAAAATCCCCTGATTTTGTGTCATCCCTTACCCTGCCTTAAACAGCAGCGTGAGAGTTGTGGGGACCTGGGTGTTTTCTGTGTGCCTGTCACCCATGCTGTCCACAGCTAATAGGCACTCAGTGCACATGTGTGCGTGGATCAGCAGTGCCTGCCCGTGACCCGTGCTCACACACCGGGCTGCACACAAACACCAGCCAAGGAGTGGATCGCACTGGGCTCCTCGCCGAAGTCTGGGTCCAGGGCTCTCTCTGCCAAGCCCTGCGCTGGGTCCCCTTTGCTTTGGGCTCACAGACTTCAGCCCCAAGGGTAGATGCAAGGGGAGATCAGAACAGTGATAAATGAAGCTATAACTTCGCCTGCGTGGAGACAGCAACAGGAAGCTATTTGTGATAGTTTATCACCTGCTGGGGAAGGGGACTCAGATGGAGGGGAAGATAGCACACTCACCTCCTCCCCCACCTCCGCTCCATGTCCTCGTGTGTTTCACAGACTGGCCTCCCTCCCTCCCGGGCCTCCCTCCCGAGCCTCCCTCCCGAGCCTCCCTCCCGAGCCTCCCTCCCGAGCCTCCCCTTTGTAAAACGAAGCTGGTGGGAGAACACAGCTGCTCTTCGCAGGACCTTCATTGTTCTCTTTGATTTTTAGGTGAAGAGTGATGTGTCGACAGGATTAGGGACTTTTTGGAAAGGGAGGAAAAAACCTTTCTCACCGTTCGGTCACCCCAACCCACATTAGCGTCATGCTCCTGTCAGTCCACTTGTACTTTAAGAAGCAGTTTCCCAAGTTGTTATAAAGAATAAGCTTTTTGGGTCCCCAATTTTCGGGTGCTGTCACTTTCTGCTCAGCGTTTTCTGGTGGAACCTGGGGGCGTGCTCGGTGGTACAGGACTGGACTGGGCGCCCCCCCTGTGCACCCCAGAATGAATGAATGAAGGAGTCTGCACTTTCCAGGGCTTGCTGTGCACTTCAGGTGAAACCAGGGGCCTGAGCGGGCCCACTCCCTGGCAGGCTGCTGCTTCGCCTGTTTAACCCGTTCCTGCTCTGCCAGGGTGAATTTGGGTCTCTCCACACCCAGAGAGTTTTCAAGTGTTTTTAGCAGCCGCCTGACGTCTCGCCTGGCTGCGCCACCCTGAACTGGTGCCGGCCCTGTGGACAGTGGGCGCCCCCTGACTTGGGCTGGTCCCCTCCCGAGGTAAACACTCGGTTCCCGGAACAGATGTCTCAGTGAAGGGGAGCTGCCTCTCTCTTGCGACACTCTGACCTTCTGCTTTCAGAAAGCCCGTTTTACACGGAGGCCCCAGAAGCATCAGAGTGGATCTGTCTCCCTGTGACCAGATGATGACGCGTTACCACTTTGGGTAGTTATGCAGTGTTATCTCTGCACATCTGTTCACCATTAGTGATCAAATGTGTTACTGATTATTGAGCACCAGCCTCTGTACCAGCTGCTTTGCGTGTGCTCATTTAATGATGGCAACAAGGACTCGAGAAAGATGCTATAGACAACAGTTTTCAAATAAAGGAAATGGAGATTGAGTAGGTTAATCTGCGCACGGACACGGAGTGGTAGCATGCAGCAGAAGCAGGACTCAAATTCGGATCGTGTATCACCAGCAGCAGCATTGTTTCAAAAGCCATCTGTTCTAAGCGCCACTTCTCTGCCTCCTGAACCCCCCAGCTAATTGCTCTCCCACACTCAACATGACGCAGATTGCAGCAGCCTAGCAGGTCCAGACTGAACCACACACACACACACACACACACACACACACACACACACACAC